TGGCATTGTCTTCCTGTTGACAGGCACTGTCTTCCTGCTGACAGGCACTATCTTCCTGTTGGCTGGCACTGTTCTCCTGATGACAAGCACTGTCTTCCTGCTGACTGACACTGTCCTCCTGCTGGCTGGCACTGTCCTCCTTCTGGCTGTCACTGTCTTCCTGCTGGATGTCCTCCCAGCAGGGGTTCACCTCCTCGAGAATGAGATCATGTTCCACCTGTTCCTCTGGGAGGATGCTGACTGCAGGGGATAAAGAGGAGCCATTTGTGGAGTAAGGAGGGTAGCTTGTGCCACTGAATCCTGGGGGGTCCACCCTGGGAGCCCTACCCCAGGGGCCTTTGCTCCCTAGCTGGATGTGTTATCAACAGGATCATAAGCAGCCAGCTCAATGCCCCAGGGACAGCCTCAAACAACACAGCCACTCCTCCAGCCTCTTCCCATGACTCCCTGTCTTTCCCCTCTAGGGATCCAGCTCTGGGTACAGCTGACCAAGCTGTTTTCCTATCAGGACTTTCCTTCTTAGAGGGTTGACCAGAGCAGAAAGAATGTTTTAGTCACAAAGTCACAGCTGATGTCAAAGGAGCCAGACACTTCACCACCTGCAGGGACAGGGTACCCTGGATTGCCCCAAGGGAAGCAGACAAAGCCTGCTCCTTGCCTAATTCCTGGGTGCCGTCTCTTGGTGACAACATGTCTGTGAGCTCAGCACCTGCTTCTGGGAACCTTATCTCTCCGTCTAGGCTTAGAATCTCCATGCTCCGAGACAATGTGACATTTTTACGGGGACATGGAAAACAATTACGGATGCCTGTAACTTTAACACTTCTCCACGGATTCAAATCCCTGACTTGAAAAGGATGAGAGCCTGTTAGGCAGTAGATTCAGATAGCTGGGTGTGGTGGTTCACACCTGTAACCCCAGCACTTCAGAGACAGAGGCAAGAGGATTTCTATAGGGAGGATTGAGACATGGTGAGTTCTAGGCCACCCTGGGCTACACAGGGAGATGCCATTCCAAAAGACAAAGAAGTGGGCTCAGGACAAATCACAGGAAACCCGACTCATCCTAGTCGAGGAGGGAAGGGACACTTCCGGCACACCAGCTGTTTCTCAAAAATTCCGGGGGTCAGTGGCCCTCAAGTCAAGTGTGAATTAGTCATGGTGACTGTCTTGATTTTTGGACATAGGATCTTGCTATGCAGCCCAGGCTGATCTCAAACTTTTGAAGATTTGCCACTCATCCCAGGCAGCAGAGGTCCCGGTGAGCACCTCCCCAGTAGTGGGTACCCCACTGGGCACTGTCCCCAGTGTCAACATCCTTGTTTCCTTCCTTATGAACTCTTTTTAGACGCTGTGAGCATAGTCAGAGGGTGCTGGCCCCTCATGAGCATTTCCTCCCTTCATCTCCGCAGTGGGCCGACAAGGGGCCTTAGAATGAGCCTGTTTGCGGCCAAATAGGCCACAGCCAACCAAGAAAGGCAAGGACGAGGTGTAGCCGGTACATTTGGGGGCGGGGTGGGAGGCTGTCAGGCCTCTGGGAGAAGCGGCTGCCTGCAGAGCTGAGGCTCCTCACTATATCAAGAAGTAGTTTGTCGGGCTGGAGAGATGGCTCAGCGGTTAAGAGCACTGACTGCTCTTCCAGAGGACCCGGGTTCAATTCCCAGCACCCACATGGCAGCTCCCAACTGTCTCAAAATCCAGTTCCAGGACATCTGACACCTTCACACTAATGTACATAAAATAAAGTTAAATAAACCATGAAAAATATTTTTAAAAAAAAAAGTAGTTTGTCCTTTGCCTCCACAGTCCACCCAGGAGCCCAGTGCTGACCCAGCCCAGTTTAACTTTCACCCCCCCGCCCTAGACAGGCTACCTGCAACTCTGCAACCTGTCTGGCCCCAGGGACACTGCATGAGTGGCAGTTGCTCCACTGAGATAGGAGCTCTGCTTCCAGGGAGTCTGGGGACATAGGTTCTCAGCAGGCCAGACACTCTGACCTCAAGGCTCCCAAAAGCCGGGGCCTGTGCTTCAGTTTATCTTCTCTAGCAGGTATAGCTCAGGATGCTCCCTTTTTCTCTAGTCCGGGCTATCTCTCCCACCTACTCTGCTCTGAAGCATAGACTGTCCCTCACCACACGCATCTCTTAGGGTATGGTCCCAGGCATTGCCATCACCAAAGCCACCTGGGGAGGCAGGAGCCTCTTGAAAAGGCAGATGCCCAGGATGCCTTCCCCCAGCAATGAGGTCTGGAGGTAGGACCGCCTTCATAATTGAGCCTGGTCATGCGAGGTATATTGCTTTAAGTATATCTCCGGCCTGCAATATTTGTTCAGTCCCAGAGTAATGTCTGTGAGGTCAGTGCCTGCTCCACCACCTCCGGCGGCTCCCCATCGCCTAGAGCCTAGTCCCTGCAGGTTAGTTAAACTTCTAGTTTGGACTTCATCATCAAGGGCTTGGGATCCCAGCTAGGTGGCATGACCAGAGATCTCCAGCCCTTACCCTCGCCTCCAGGCATTTCCCACTTTATTCTCTCAGCAAGGCACTGGGGGGGTCTCAAACTCAAACTCAGATGGTGGACATGAATGAAGGAACAAATGCCAGCTGCCTGCAGGTGACAGCTTTTGTTCAGACCTTTCTCATGAACACGATGTAGGTCATCACAGCCAGACACTCTATTAGGCCCTTCTATGGAAGCTGATTTTTAAATCTTTCTTATTCATCTATCTATCTATCTATCTATCTATCTATCTATCTATCTATCTATC